ATCAACTTTATGCTACCAAAAAAGTTGAAATTGATTCTTAGGAAAAAAATACATACCTTGCCAAATGGACTTAAGAAAAATAGATCACTTGAATAGTTTTAAAACCATTAAAGAAATTTAATCAGTAGTTTTAAATATTCCCACAAATGAAATACCAGGCCCCAGCAACTTCTATTCACTATTCAAGGACAGATAATTCCAATCTTACACACAATATTTCAGAAAATACAAAAAGAAACACTATTGAACTCATTTTATGAGGCTAGGATAATTCTGATACAAAACCAGGAAAGGAAAATATGAGAAAGGCAAATTACAGGCCAGTTTCACTCATTAATACAGATGTAGAGTATTCCTTAACAGAATATTAACAAAATAAATCCAGCAATTTAAAAAAATAACAGTTTTACACCAAAAGCAAAAAAAAGTGAAAATAGACAAATTTGATTACATTAAAATTTAAAACTTCTTCATCAAAGAACACTATTAACAGAGTGAAAAGGCAGCCTACTGAATGGGAAAAAATATTTGCAAATCACATATCTGATAAGAGGTTAGTATCCAGAGTACACAAAGAACTCCTACAACTCAACAACAACACAACAAATAGCCTGATTAAAAAATGGGCAAAGAACTCGAATAGACATTTCTTCAAAGAGGACATGGAAATGGCCAAGAAGCATATAAAAAGATGCTCAACATCACTAATCATTAGAGAAATGAAAATCAAAACCACAATAAGATATCACCTCATACCCCTTACTGCTACTATCAATAACAGAAAATAACAAATGCTGGGAAGGATGTGAAGAAATGTATAAAATGGTGCAGCTGCTATGGAAAACAGTATGGCGGTTCCTCAAAAAATTAAAAATAGAATTATCATATAATACAGCAATTCCACTTCTGGGTATATACCCAAAAGTTTTGAAAGCAGGATCTCAGGAGATATTTGCACAGCCATGTTCACAGCAGCACTATTCACAATAGCCAAGAGATAGTAGCAATCCAAATGTTCAGACAGATGAATGGACAGGCAAAATGTGTCTATACATAGAATGAAATATTATTCCATTTAAAAAGGAAAGAAATTTTGACACATGCTACAACCTGGATGAAGCTTGGGGACATTATGCTAAGTGAGATAAACCAGTCACAAAAGACAAATACTGTATAATTCCACTAATATGAGGTATCTAGAATTGTCAAATTCATAGAAACTAAAAGTTGGACGGTGGTTGCCAGGGTCTTGGAGAATGGGGTTATGGGGAGTGTTTAAAGGGTACAGAGCTTCAATTTTGCAAGAGGAAAACGTACTGGAGATCTCTTTCACGGCAATGTGAATATGCTTAACATTACTGAACTGTACATTTAATAATGATTAAGATAATAAATTTTATGTGTTTTCTTAATAGAATAATTTTTTTAATATTAATTTTAATTTACCCCAGGAATGTAAAGTTGGTTCAACTTTAGGAAATCTATTAATATAATTTACCACATTAGCAAATAAAAGGTAATGTGAATGTCTCAAAAGATGAAAAAAACTGATAAAAATCAATATTCATTCTTAACTGAAAAAAAGACCTAACAAACCTTGTTCTCAAATTAAAAATTATCTTCTGGGACTTCCCTGGTGGTCCAGTGGTTAAGAATCTGCCTACCAATGCAGGGGATGTGGGTTCAACTCCTGGTCAGGGAACTAAGATCCCACATGCCTTGGGGCAACTAAGCCCTCACATCGCAACTACTGAGCATGCAAGCCACAACTAGAGAGCCCATGTGCTCTGGAGCCCACATGCCACAGCTAGAGAGAAGCCCACACGCTGCAATGAAAGATGAAAGATCCTGTCGCAACTAAGACCCGACGCAGCCAAAATAAATAAATAAATAAAAATTTTTTAAAGGTTATCTTCTACACACACACACATCACACACACAGAGCTTACAACTAAGATATTTAATGGTGAAACATTAAAAAGATTTCTTCTGAAATCCAAGGTAAGGCGTATTTGCCTGCACTTCTATATAATACTAGACTGCAGGTCTAACTAGTACAATAAAAACAGTGGAATAGGGTTAGGGGAAACCCAGAAAGGGAAGGAGGAGAGAAAAAAAGAAGGAAGGGAGGAATACAGGAAGAGATGCATGGAGGGGGAGAAGGAGAAAAACAGAAGAGAAGAAAAAGGAAGGAAAAGTTAAAGGCATAAGGAAAGGAAAACGTATAACTATTGCTTTTCTCATATGATATGATGGTATATAAAACAACCCAAGTGAATGTACAGATAAATTATCAAATTTAGTAAGACAGGTCAGCAAAGTTGCTAGATGTAGTTGTTACATAAAAGTCAATCTCATTTAGGTACAATAATGACAAATAGAACATTTAATTAATTTCAAACATACCATTTGTAATAGCACCAAATATTAACTATTTAAAACAAAAGTCATGTAGACCTGTTAGAGAAAATTATCAACTTCTGTTTGAAGACATTAAGGAATATGTAAATAAATGGAGAGATTTATCATATTCATGGCTTAGAAAATTCGATATTATAATACTGGGACAATGTCAATTCTTCCCAGACTGAGCAAGGGTCTTTCTATAAAACTTCAGAAAAGAATTCAGAAATAAAAATTCAGAAAAGACTTTATGTGAAAATTAACATGCTAATTCTATGTGCATATGAAAGAGCAAGAGACCAAGAACAGTCAAGACACTCCTGAAGAAGAGTCAAGTCAAAGTTCGTCCTCTGCCGGATATGAAGACTAGAAAGCCATTTTTAATTGAGATGGTATAGAATTAGGGCATAGAGAATCAAGTAAACTAACAGAACACAAATGAGAACCACAAAACAGACCCAGGTAAATATGAACATTGAATATACGATACAGGTAGCATCACACACCAACAGGAAAGCAGGGACTACTGAATAAACACACAAGAATAACCAACTACCCCTTTAGGAAAAAAACAGACTTGGATCTCTTCCTCACATCTTCTAAAAAAAACAATTTCAGATTGGTTGAGGGCTTAGCACTTTTAGAAAAAGAATGTGATATAACATCTTTTTGATAAAAAGATGCATTCTTAAACAGGACACAAAGAGTGAAAACATAAAGAAAATGATAAGTCATTTAAAGCTAAGAACTTTTCTGTTTATCAAAAAATATCTAATAGAGGATGAAAATGGCAGCCACAAAGTAAGAATGATTATTTGCAATAGCATATAATCATCACAAGATTAGTATGAGAATGTTCCTACTAATTTTTTTTAAAAAAGAAGGGTAGTGAGACTTCCCTGGTGGCGCAGTGGTTAAGACTCCACGCTCCCGATGCAGGGGGCCCAGGTTCCATCCCTGGTCTGGGAACTAGATCCCACATGCATGCTGCAACTAAGAGTTCACATGCCACAACTAAGGAACCAGTGAGCCGCAACTAAGGAGTCCACCTGACACAACTAAGGAGCCCATCTGCTGCAACTAAGGAGCCACGTGCTGCAACTAAGGAGCTCGCCTGCTGCAGCTCGCCTGCTGCAGCTAATACCCAAGGCAACCAAATAAATAAAGTAAAAAATAATAATAAAAAAATTAAAAAATAAAAAGGGTAGTAAATTACATTAAAAAAAGACAAAACATGCATGAACAATATATGAAAAATGATCAACCACATTAAAATAATCAAAGAGAGGAAATTAAAAACGACAATGAGGTAAAATTCTGACAATGTAGTGTGTTAGGAAGGATACACGGCAACAGGAACTCATACACTGTGGTAGGAGTATGCAGTTTTTGGAAAGCAATTTTGGCATTAGCTTGCAAAGCTGAAGAGCTACATACCCTCTAATGAACAATTCTACTGTGCAAACACATGAAATTGGCTTGGGGTTACTACTTTGTTCATAAAAATTATAGACAGAATAGAAATTAATAACGCATCACAAAATGAATATGCCTTAGAGATAATATGGCACCTCTGTACCAGGAAACAAGCACAATAATGAACATAACAGCATTATTTATAATAGCAAAGATAAATGGAAGCAACGCCAATGTCTGCAGCAGGAGAACTGGTAAATAAAATGAATATACAATGAAATAATTGTATTCAAGCCTTACCGTTCTTATCTAATGGAGTACCCCTGTTCCAGAGACTTCTGCTCTGGTTAATTCTCCCTTTCCCTCTGGAGAATAAAATCTGTTATTTCTGGCTATCTGCCCTCTACACCGTATTTATATATAATTGACCTATCGGATTCAAACTGTGGTTTTATTTCAGAACTAGTAAGTACCCGTGAGCCTTATTTACTCTATCGTTTTCCACTTCCATTCCCCCACCCCACAATACAGAGACACAAACACACACAGATTTCGTGTCCCACTCTTCACTCGACCTCCAAAATAGTCAAGTCTCTTACAATACCTGAGGAAATGTCCGCTGCCGCAATAGCTGTGATGATGGCTTAATGCCCTTAAAACCCTGACTCTATATTAAGGACCAAGAAAAGAATTTTTTAACACCTGAACAAGGACAGAGGATGATTAAGATACAAATTTTATACACTAGTTTATTTTATTTCTAATTATATTCTTAGTAAATGATGTTAATATTCAACAGGAATGACTTTGTCACTCAGTGCTTTTGCCCAGTAAAAACCAGAGCCCCTAAGCATTTTATTGGCACTAAAGCAGTCAGCTGTGACATACGATAACGGCAAGGGTAAAGAAATTCTGCTCCGTTTCTAAATTAAATGTCTCTTCGATGACTTGAATGTAGGAGACTGAACATATGTAGAGGAGATCACAATAATTTTAAAAGGTGTTGACAGTATTATCATAATAGTCACTGTTTAAACCAATGCTGACCCTCATGCATGTGTATGTATTATACGGTTTAAGTAACCCAAAGCAGATGCTATACGTGTAATCCAGAAACAACTATAACGATCATTCATATCTCATGCTCGTAGATGAGAGAAGGGTAAATGACTTACTCAGCAAATTCTATTTCAACAGCATCGCCCTCCATCCTCAACACCGAACATCACAAAACTAGTTACTGGTGAGGCTCACTTTTCAGTGTTCTCCAGCACGTTATGGTGCCTATTAAACAAAAAATCAGTTTTAGGTGTTTGTTTATCTTACAGAATGATTTACATATGATTTCTTGAGCTATATATTAATGCACATAAAAATATGACTTGAGAAAAATTTCTCCTGTAATTTAAATTTACTATTGGTCTCTAACTAGCATGACATGTGTCCATGGTCAGGTGACTTTATCTAGAAGATATATTTTCATCTATATATTCTAGTAGCATGTAAACAGACCCTAACTTCATGTCAAGCCACTTAATGAGATATCATCGTCGTCATTAAAATCATTTGTTTTTATGTATCTGCATCCGTGTGGCTCCATACTAAGCACTATGAAAAGTGAGAATTAAAATGTCTCTCCTTCACAGGATGTGCAATTTAAAATAAAACAGGAAAACGCATATTGATGACACTAAGATCAAACACAGACACTAAACATAAGCATGTAAGTATGTTTGATTACATCAAATGGTTAGATGAATGAGAAGGGGTTTTAAGATTTCATTTTAAAACAGTTAAGATTTCATGAAAATCTCAACTTCTCTGTCTTGAAGGCTTATTTCAGCACTTGGGTTTGAAGAGGGGTCTTAGAAAGGATAAGGACCCTGTAGTCTAGGGTTTCAGAGAAAGAAAACACTCCAGAAAAGGCCATATCATAGGGTAATTCATAAGAGGGGCAAGATTAGTAAGATGACCAAGGGGCAAGTTCCATGTACCCGAATATCAGAAAAAATATATATTTAATTAATATACCACCACCTGCTGAGAACCCATTCATCTGGCTAGCAGGGCCAAATAGTGTTTTTCTAACACTATTCAGAAAGACTTCACTTCACTTTGAGCTCCTAAATAGGCCAAGCCAATAATCTTTAAAAACCCAGATCAGGGCTTCCCTGGTGGCGCAGTGGTTGAGAGTCCGCCTGCCGATGCAGGGGACACGGGTTCGTGCCCCGGTCCAGGAAGATCCCACATGCCGCGGAGCGGCTGGGCCCGTGAGCCATGGCCACTGAGCCTGCGCACCCGGAGCCTGTGCTCCGCAATGGGAGAGGCCACAACAGTGAGAGGCCCGCGTCAGTGAGAGGCCCGCATACGGCAAAAAAAAAAAAAAAAAAAAAAAACCCAGATCAGAGAAATGTTTAAATTTAAGAATAGTTCCTCAATCTTAATTCCTAGTAGCAATCAGTAGCTATTCTTTTTCTCTATGCTATTCTTACAAAGAGGAAACTGCTTTATCCTATTAGGTTCTCTCAAAATAATACAGTTCTGATTCTTTTCTGCTAGTGGTTCTCCAAGTGTGGTCCTGGGAAGAGGGCATCAGTATCACCTGGCAACTTGTGCGAAATGGAAATTCTCAGGCTCCACCCCAGACCTACTCCATCAGACAACTGGGGGGATGAGGACCAGCCATCCGGTTGAACAAGACCCTCAGGTGATTCTGCTACGCACTCAGGTTGAACACTACTGCTTTGTACCTGTGCAATAATAGCACCATCCATGCTTGCCCTGGTCCCACCATCAGGACAGGTATTTCAGTTCACCTGTAGAAATAATTCAAGAAAAAAAATGGTTTTGTCACTTAATCTTCACACTGAAAATGACATATTTATGTTGGTCAATAAATACTCCCCAAATGGAATAATACTCTTAAACACTCCATACTCATAAACTTTCAGTGTTACAGGGATTGTAGATTGTAGTGTTTACAAAACATTTTCTAATATATTATCAATGAAGCCAATAGATTTAACAAGCTCCCAGGGGTCTTCATTCTCTCCTGGGCCTCACACAGAGAAGACCCTAATAGGCGGAGATCTCACAGCACCGCATATAAGAGCTCTCCTTTGTGTGCCAGGAGGGAGGGCTGGAAAAAGTCTCCTGGAAGGTCTAAGAGTAAAGACAAAAAAAAAAAGCCTGAGATTTCCTTCTTGCTGATTCAGCAGGCCCTGAGGGTCATCCTTCCCCCCTCCCAGCAGAGCTGAGACACTTCCAATGGGCCAGGTCCAGTTCTCAGTGTCAAGATCTGGAAATCAATGGTTTTACAGTGAGCGAATGGCATTCCCTAACTCTTAGTCTGAGGTTGTAGCTAAAACCAGACAACCCTTTTTGAAACACCAAACCATTTAAGCCAAATCGAAAAAAGTTCAGCTTCTTTGACAAGCACACTGAAAGACACTTTTACGCGTGTTAGGCTAAAATCCCACCAGGTCCCTGGAAAATCCTCTACCTGCGTTAGCCCCATGCTCAGTTCCCATAGTCCCCAGGCATGAAGACCTTCCTGCCCTTCACCAACACCAATTACCTCCCACCAAACTTCACGATGAAAAAGGGGGACAAAAATAATCACTATTTCAGCAGCGGTCATTTTAAAAAACATGATAATAACGTCGAACTCCCTCCAAAATTAGTCTCCACCGTCCTATAAATTGGTTTTCTTTGTGATCTAAAATTGACTCGCAGGGCACCAGTTAGAAAATAGTCGCTGAAAAGCCGGGGCCTCCGAGCTTTCGGATCCTGCCGGCCTTTCATCGTGTAAACAAACGCATCAGATTTAAAGCTTTCCCATAATTGTTATGCTAACCTTGGAGCGAAACCTCTCCATTTGCATTTGAAGGAGCTAAATATTAGGCAGGAAAGAAAGTGCTCTCTTTGAAAGCCTGAGAAAATGTCCCCGCTCGGGGCTGCCGGGCCATCTGGGCCGCGGGCTGGGGCGCAGCTCCCGCCCCCCGCGCCCTGGTAGCCGCGCGCCGGGAAGAAGGGGCGCCCCGAGGGCCGTCATCTGGCTGCAGAAGAATGCGGACGGGCCCCCGGAGCCTTAGGGCGCGGGCCGGGCTCGCTCGGGGCGGGGGCGGCCCGGGGATGTGGGAGCCAGGCGTGCCTTGGGGATAGATCACGCGGCCTGGGATCCTTGCCCTTTTCCCAGGGCGCATCCCCCGGGCCCACCGCTTCCTGGATGCCGGGGGAGAGGGGCGTCTCCGCAGCAGGGTGAGGGGCTCGGAGGCGCGAGGCGGGGTGTGGAGAGCGTAGGCCTATGCTGGGAAGGAGAAATGCACATTCAGTAAGCGCTCTGACCCACTTTGAACTTGATCTCCTGGAGTCTCCAGATCCAGCCCGTTTAGTCGAGGCCAGTAAGCCCCCCTATGCACACCAAGCTTGGAGTAATTAAAAATAAAAACGCTGCACCGTTGGGGGTTTCTTATAGAAAGGAGGGAAGGCTCGAACTTCCCATCAGCCTATTCTGGGGCAATCAAGAAAAGCCTTGCAGCCCTCTACCTTTTCCTGTAAATGGAACCAAAGCGTATCTAGGATGAGTTACGGAAAAATCATTCCTGGGGGAAAAACATCGAGGGCTTCATACACCAGGAGGACAGAGCTGGAGGGGATAAGATGCTCCTAGATTCGAAGCATATAATTATTTTCTTGCACCACTTCTCATTTTAATCTCATTTCGAATATAATTCAAAGGTGCTTTGATTTTTAAATGACTTCACTGTTGTCAGAATTAGCATTTTTCACTAGTCCTAGGAGACATTCCAGAGGAGAACGGTATTTTTATTTTCCTTTTTTCCCCCCCTACGGTTTGACAAAGGCTTCTCATGCATCGCTGGACTGTGTTACAAAGTTAAGGGATTTTTCCCTCTCTCAAAGGAAGATCGTTGAGGCTGCAAGTAACCCTGGTAGCTGCTAGGAGATGGAATTCTTTAGGCTAGAACAGCATGTTGCACAAAATAACTGGCAAAAGAGGAATGCAGGCCAGCACTTGAGTTCTTTACAGGGGCAAAAGGATGCAACAGTGACCCAAGGTCTACATGGGAAGAGAAGATGAAGTATATTGTTTTTCCTAATCATAAACTAAGTATCAGTGTTTGACAAGCTTCTAAAATGCATCAACTGCCATGTATTCTATTTATTTCATATTTATTAAATGGCTACAAGTTTGGTTTGGGGGTTGTTTGTTTGTTTTTTAAGATTTAGGACCTTGGCCTCAGACAGACCCCAGTTCCAGATCTGGCTTCTCATATTTACTACCTTGGTAGCCCCAATCAAGTTACTTTGCCTTTCTAAATCCCAGTGTTCTTATCCATAAAATGGGTGTATTGAAATAAACACAGTGCCTAACACATAGTAAGCACTCTATAAATCATAGCTGTTGCTGAGTACGTTATTATCATCATTGTAATCACTGTCTCTTCCCTGAAGATTCTAAATCTTTTAGAATCTGTATTAAATGAAGCAATTGAATGGGGTCATTCAAAAATATTTATTTGTTGCCAGGTTCTGCTCTAGTGCTAGAGATAAATAGATAAATGTTCCTTGCTCTTATGGACTATAGGTTCTAGTCAGGGAGATAAACAACAGATCAGAAAAGTATTAAATATGATCATTGTGTAAACGAGCAGGAACTTATGAGAGGCCTCCCAGGACAGACCCCTTCCCCATATCCTCTGCTGTAGCTCCTCTCTGAAGTACCCAGATAATAGTATCTCATGCATATTTACTGAGTTTTTCAGATGCTAAAAACCACCACCAAATGTAAGAAATTAACTATTTGATGATCATGAGCACGTAGTCCTGGACTTACACCCTGTTACCTCATAATCAACCAATCAGAGAATTGTGCATGAGCTGATCTCATACCCTGTGACCCTCCTCCCTCACCCGGCCTTTAAAAATGCTTTGCTGAAACCCTTTTGGGAGTTAGGCATTTGCAGGGGGCATGAGCCCCCTTTCTCCTTGCATGGCCCTGCAATAAACATTTCCCGGCTCCAAACTCCAACGTTTCTGTATTGTTTGGCCTCACAATGCGTCAGGCACGTGAACTTGCATTTGGTAACAATTTCAGAGAACAATAGATTCCATAAAGAAAATAAACCAGGGAATTGGGAAGGGGAGTGACTGAGAAAGGTGCTGGGGGAGGAGAGAAGGGCTGGTTAAGATGAGAAGGACAGGGCACCTCGAAGAGGAAGTGACAACCATAGGTGTCCACCAGGCAAAAGCAGACTGGAGAAACATTCAGGGCCAGATCTTGTACGGTCAGGAGCTCCAAATTCTTCAGAGCAATGAGAGATGATGAGAAAGTTTCAGGCGAGGGAATAACATAATCTGATTTACTATTTAGAAAGGTCACTCTGGCTCCTATGTGGCGAGTAGACAATGGGAAGTGGTGGAAGAGGATAGGGTAAAAGTGGTCCTCAGCCCTCCTTGCCCTTGGGAAACTTTTATAAAGCCAAGCTCTATTTGTGGGTGTGGAGTAGCGCCTAAGCATTGCTTTTCCTGGCTTTTTTTGTTTGTTTGTTCTAAACTCCCAGGTGATTCTACTGTATTGTAAGAGTGGAAAAAAACACTAATTTGTAAGTCATCTCAGTTGTCCCGTGAAAGAGGATGTGATTGACGTGGAGATGCTAAGCGGTGGTCATAGGCTATGTCTTAGAGGTAGAAGCAAATCAACCTGCTAATGGATTAGAAGTGACGGGACGGGTGGGGAGAGAAAGATAGGAATGAGGAATGACCTCATAGTTGGCTCAGTAGTATAGATGGTGATCCCATTTACCGGGATGGCAAAAATGAAGTCAAAGTAGACAGAGGAATGAAGACTGGAATCAAAAATACTGACCATGTTGTGTATATGATGATAATTTGACATATATTAGTATAACAATAATATAATTATTCAGTTGAAACATCTAGCAGAAAGTTGATTTGAGAGATAGGAGGACAAAGCTCTAAATGTCATCTGTATCAATGTTGCCCAATAGAACTTTCAGCGAGAATGGAAATGTCCTATATCTGTACTGTCTACTGCAGTATCACTCACCACATGTGGATATTAGCACTTGAAATACAGCTAGGCTGGTATAACTGAGGAGCTGATTATTTTTTTTAATTAATTTAAATTTAAATAGCAATATGTGGCCAGTAGCTATCCTATTGGACAAAGCAGACATGCGTTGATGATTCCCATATTTATATATCTGGCCTGAACTTGATACCTTCTCACTACTTCCCCTGGTAACAAACAGATCAAAGCCACTGTCCTCTCCAGCTTAGATTATTGCAACAGCCTCCTATCTGGTCACAATGTTTCTCCCCTGACCTTTTATTGTATATTCTCAAAACAGCAGCCAAAATCATCTTCACAGCTTGAGTTATATCATGTATTTCTTTGCTTGAAGCCTTCTAATGTTTCCTCATCTCAATATGATAAAAGCCAAAGATTTTTCAATAGCATACAAAAAAAAAAAAAAAAGCAGCCCTAAATCATCTGACCCCTTCTTTGCCTCTCTAACGTCACTTTCCACTTTTCTGCCACTCCTCTGTCCCTGCCACAGCACTTATCACCTTCTCTTGTGCGATATACTCAACTCAGTTATATTGTTTAGTGTCTACTCTCTCTTAGTAGAAAATAGGCTCTGTTGGGGTGGGGATTTAGGACTATTTTGTTCACTATTGTGTCCTCTACTACCTAGAACACAGTAGCCTGGCACATGTTAAGCACCCAAGAAATACTTATTGAAAGACGGATAATATATGCTCACCTCGG